CAGGCAGTAATGCAGTACGTTCAGTTCACGTTCGCCCAAAATATGAACGAGTTCATGAACTTTTGTTCAATGAACGCGTTCAGGCACAACACTGGTCAAATGTTTGAGTTTTTTTTTCCCCCCAACTTTTTCAAATGAGAAATACCAGAAACACAAACATTTACTCTACTTTCTATTTTCTAACGTTAGACACAATGTCAATGATTAACTCAGTCAATGTCTTCCAGTCAGTCTTAGATAGCCAGGCTAATGTTATGCTACATACTTATATTATAGGATCCATTGGTGTATATGTGGATTTTCTTGGTTAGTTCATCCACTGACAGTAAAATTAACTGAGGAACTTCTTCTCTCAGTCGGCGAACTGTTTGTTTTTGCAGCCAAATGCTACACATGTAGGCGTTTTTACTTTGCATCTCCGTGGGCGTGGGGAGTACCAGCATGGCGGACGGTGGCTTCTCTTTTTTTGGGGACAATCATCAATCCAGTGAAAATATAGAGCTCAGTGCATAGAGGCATGCTCTTGTTTCTTTTGGTCTTTTGCTTTGATTCCATGTATAATGGATTGATATCATAAAATAAACCCAGAATGCATTGCAATTTTTTTGCTACAAACAGTAATTGGTAGTACTCAGAGAAACCTGAAACTAAACTGTGAAGTGTTGGCAAACCTGCTAAAGCCGGGCATACACTGTGAAATATTTTTAATTGTTGCATGCAGCTACAGCTCAAACTGTACAACGAAACCGCAGGGTTTAAACGTTCACAGCTCACAATGGCTGTTCTCACACTGTGTGACCCGACGCTCTACCTGCTGACTCTGCAATTCCAAAAACCACATGTCGGACTCAGCGTCCAGAGATGCGCTGGTTGGACTCGTCAACCTAGAAGAAGAACTCTGTTGTTTGCACATGCGTAGTGCTCGAGGTTCTTGAATTTCAAACATGTTTGATTTTCTCCCGACCTCACGATGGGGAGGTGGTCATGGGAGGTTGATCGCCCCTCGTTACCTCCTGTATACTACACGATGCAGGACACACGATGAGGCTGTGTCATGATGGGTGCACGGAGAGTGACCCAAATATGCACCACTAGACGGACACAGGAGTAAAAGTTCAACAAGTTTATTTGTTCACAAGCACACTGATATGACTGGTTCTGGTTCGGGCCTGGAAACTGGTTCACCGGAGTCTGCGTGAGAGACAGTTCAGTTAGCGTTGCACGTTGGAGCTTGCTTTCTTGATTGTACTGATTGTACCTTGAGGGTTCTTGTAGTTAGCTTTGAGAGGGTCACTGTTGGATCTGGAGAGG